CAATTAAATTTAATAACGTTAAAAACTTAGCAATATAATTCTTAAATATTAAGTCGTAGAAATATTATTATTTATTCAGCGCCATCTATCATCATGCATATAAATTATTCAATATCGAAATCCACTTTGAAAAGCAATGGACAAGTACAATATATGTGTGAACCTAGTAGTTGCATTTGGAATGTAAGTTAGAGGGAGCTAGTGTGCAATTTCTTTTGAATGAGATGCGGAAATGGATGTGACGTCACATTAATGTTCTGGAAACATTGAAAGGCGGAGTCAGCAAAACCGGTCCGTGTGCTTCCTCATACCAAATATGGTGATATGAGAGAAATTTGCAATGACGCTGTCACGTGTTGTAGTAGCCTATAAATAGCAGTGCACAAACAGATTCGCTCTCTTTTGGCTGATAGAACCTTGAAGACCATACTTAGAAAATAGCATTAAGACTAGCAGTGGTAGTCAGTGCATTATATACTTAATATTTCTCCCCGGATTAACGGGTAAGTTCAATACATTTGATTCGTTAGGCTGTAGGTCCAGTTAGTTTTTTTATTGAATTATAGAAAAATATGTAATTGGTTCTAGGTCCATTAATTTGGCTAATAAATAACAGTAAAAGTCACATTTACTTAATCCTGATTGGAATCTCCTTGGAAATATATATATATATGAGCCTGTGAAGCTTCCTTGAGCAAAAAAAAAAGCGACGGGTTCACGTGATGACAGCAAGTCCTGCTTCATCCCTGAGGACATTTGAGTGATCCTGATGCTCCCATGATCTTGCCAAGCTAAGTAAAACTTATAACTTCTTGATATTTAACCAGTGCATACTCCGGTTAACAATTTCTGTTTAACGTGATAAAGGATTTCTATTAGTAAACTATAAAGCCATTATAAGTACATAACAAATTTTTATTGTTAGATTTTCAAAATTTAATATTTTATAACTTGTTTAATAATTTGTTTATATAAGAAACTTAAATTGAGTATTACTGTATTAGCACATGATCTTGAATGTTTGAATAGCTTTAAATCAAAAGAAAAATCTTTGAAGAAATATAACTATGTATTTTTAACTTGAATGTGACTAGTATTAAGTTTTAACCATGATGAAATAAGATCTGAATCTTTTTAACAATATAATATCTTGTTCACTGCTGTTTTAGACATTTTCATTTATCTCCCTCAAATCACAGTATCACGGTGCCCTGATTTTAAATTAAATAAGTTTCGAGTCTCATGTACGCCCTGAAATAGTCGGTGGTAACTAAAATTGTTACAAATATACGGCAATTTGAGCTCATAATTTCAGATTATACGGCATACGGAAGATTTGTCATTGCCGTATAATAATACTAACTACCTATAAATTTTAATAAATCAAATTAGGTAATACGACAGAAGCATGATTTTTATTTAAAAATACGGCAATCTGAAATATCGAATACGGTAACTCTTTCAAACTTGATGGCAAACACTGACCGCTTGTACCAAGTTGGAAATTCATTATTATTGCTACGTATAAGAAGTCGAAAAACTTTTTCGTTTGGTGCTCTTTCCATTCGCGTTGACTGAAAACTCCCACAAATCGCCTCGTGCAAATAAAACCAATATCTATGTGACGACCTCCTTGGCCAAATGGTTTGTACGCAGAGTTTCATGGTGTCGCCAATTCGAGAGCTCCAAGAGGTTCGCATCCCTGCGGGGCATGTGTTTGTGTGATGAATATGAGCATTTGTACTCCAGTCATGGATGTTTAATATGTAATTCTAAATAAATATACTTTGAAATGTATCAGTATATGTATTCTATCCGTTACCCTAGTATCCCATAACAAGCCTACAGTGCTTAGTTTGGGGCTAGGCTAATTGGTTTGAGTGTTAGAAATATTTATTTATTGTGTTATAACAAATAAGTAAAAATCCTCGCACCAGTCGAAAAAGTCGTAAAAAGCATTAGCCGTCGTGACTGAATTTAATTTGTGTCGAATGGTTCCGTACAAATCGTGGCGGGGGTCTGTCGGCGACAACTCGCTGCCCTCATCAAATTATCTTATGGGCATGGAGTACGGAATCTATTAGATGTGACTGAGGAAAAAAGGTATAAGTATTTATTTATTTTTTTTGTTGCTACAAAACAATATGTTTCTATGTATATCTAGAAAAGTTACACAAACTTTATCGTACTTACTTTGGGGCTAGGCTAATTAGTGTGAGCGTCAGAAATATTTATTCATAAATTATAAAAGGATTTCCCTTATTTAAAAAAAGTTTATTTTTGAAACTTATAAATCTCATTGCTAAAATGTTGTAATTCATTCTTTCCATCCCGTCTTAACTTCTCAGGTAAATAAATTTCAAATCTACTTGGTATCCATATTTCCAATTTTCTAGTCTATTTATTATCCACTGAAGACAAATTTCACTTTGAAGGTCAAGCACTGTTCGAGTTATTGTGATAAGACTGAGAATTAATGAGTGACCTTTCGCAACTTTAATAAATATTTTGATTAAAGTCGAATATAAGTACAAAAACTAAAAACTATTTAATGATTGAAAACTCAAATTTCATTAATAGTCTTACCTAATTATTAAACATATGAAAAGCTAAAAATATCTCTAACAACTTACTTTGGAATCATAACAATAGGCATGTGATGTTGTCAAAACATCGCGCTGTCACATCTATGAGATTCGTTAGTCTACCGCTCCCTACGTGTTGTGACTGCTCGTGACACTTAATATAGGTAAATAAATAAACACAATGGCGGCATTGTGATTGTGAATCACCAATTATCACTAACTAGCTGTGACGACTGTAATTTACTTTGTCTACAATTGATTCGATGGGATTTGAGAACCAACGTGATTTGGATTTGAAATGAAGATGATCATTTTAGATGGGTAGATTGGTACTAAGTACGTTTGGGTGTTGACAGTTTTCAGATTTATTACTAAGTTATTTTTATATGTAAGAGAGGTAGGACTTAGCGGATTTACCGCTCGAATTGGAGCGCCCATCTGGGAAAGTAACCCCTACCTTTCAGAAGATCATAGTAACATAACGCTACCTTTTGGTGGTGTTGTGGTTCTGTCGATGAGTAAGGTTCTTGGGCTCCACGAGGTAGGGGATTGGGTCAGTGCGAGTGATATGTTTGGTATCGTAAGCGTCTATATATAGGTATGGTGGCCGCTCACCATCAGGCGGTCCAAGCGCTTCTTTGCCGATGGTTAACACAATAAAAAATTACAATCATTAAACAATACATGAACATCAATTACAAATTATCTTCTAAGTTCCTTATGGGGCGTCAGTCTTCTTGACAGTACAACTACTTTATTTGATAAATCTCTTCACTTCATAATCCTAATTAGGACACATTCTACACATCTGATCACAAGTTTCAATCTACGATAAAAAAAAACTTACTCTTACTCAAAAAGCAGCCAAAGGGCTGTGTCACGTCTTCCTTATAGATGGAATAGAGAAATCGTGTTGCGACCCACCAAGAATGCTCAATGAAGATTGGTGCTAATGTTTCCAGATACAGTTGGTTGCCGGACTTACACTTGTCCTCTGGAGCACGGACTATAGGCATGTTTATCGGTTTGGTTGTTCTGTACCGGGGCAGACTTGAACTGTTTCTAATCTATGGGAATGCTTACTTGTACAGGAATTCGGCACAGATTACTAAGAGAAATTCGGGCGATAATGTTAATATACTTCTGTTACTACGCCGCGTCTCTCCTTGTGTGCACTTTAGAATAAGTCAACTTGTCAAATATGGAATGAAATCGTTATCCTAATTATTGTAAATAAGCGTATTAGAATATCGATAGCGTAATAATTTTCAGTTTTTTTTTCTTATGACACCGAAACATGGCAGACGGTTTGAATATTATGTTAATAGTGTATTAAATATCGACGAAACAAAGCGGCCTAAGTGATGAGATGGAGTTCATTAAACTTATCATTGACAAGTGTGAGCAATTTAGCCATCACATCAATAGGCGCACATTCCATCGGCAACTAACTGTGAAACCACATCAAATCTTATCCCCCCTTTGATCGTTAAGCGCCCACCAATCACATAATTGATTTGTCACATTAGTGAACACTCTGGCATATCGTAAACAAAAACGAGCCACCTTATCCTGACGCAATAAGGCCGAAAATTGTGCAGCTAAAGTTGCTAAAATATTTTGAAGGGCTCCTTCAGGGGAGCGTACTGGGCCCTCCGCATTATTCCATAGGAAAGTGGCAATTCTATTAAAAGGGGGGAACTTTCAAATGGTTATTTTATTAGCCTTATAGTTATTAAATGTTTATGGATTTAAATCCCTGAAATGGAATCAATCACTTGGCTGCTATGATACAAATTATAATAAAAGTATTTAAGCACTTGAAAATATCGGTGGTTATACCGCACCATGAAGCTTGACATAACCTAGCAGCCGGCTGTAGGGTATCCATGAGGATTTTTCAAAACCGCTTCCTCGCCTGGGAGGTTATAATTCGTATTTAAAATAATAATAATATCGATTGAGTTTGAGACGCAGTTTGACTTTGATTTAGGTATTTTAGTTGAGATACATAGATTGATATTAATTGCTTTTTCTAATTTCCGATATAGAAAATAAAGGCTTGCTCAAATTATATTGTGGTAACTACAACTACGGAACTCTACACTGCGCGTGGCACGGCACGTTTTTTCTCTATATTAATAACGGCAACAGGTATACGCTAGAAATATTCACAGAATATTAGGATAATATTAACTTTAAAAATAAATAATTAAAATAAAATAAATAATAAGGGCAACTCCCATACAACAAACGAGATTTTTTGCTGATTTGTTAATTTTTTTTGTACGATATTAAAATATAATGTCTAATATTTTATCAATAAAGGTACGATATCCTTTGTGCATGAGTTCGACTCGCACTTGGCCGATGTTTCCGTTTACTCATGCACTTAAGTTAAGCATTTTATTCCAGCTGACGACAGCACTTCGCCCCTAAGATGGTCGCCCCCCACATCAGCTGCTTTGGTGGCGGCAGCGTTAGCCCCGCCAGCTCTCAGACCTTGGCTGCCAGACACTCCTACGAAGAAATCCAACCACTTGGGTAAGACAGGTTGGCAAACCATGCACTTTGCTTTTACGTTTAATTAGCGAGCTCTGGTGGCGGCAGCGTTAGCCCCGCCAGCCATCAGAACTTGGCTGCAGCAGAGTGGTTGCACTACTGGCCAGCCACATGGGTAAGACAGGTAGGCAAACCTGCCACTTTGCTTTAAGGTTTCATTAGTTACGTGTGAAACGTACACTTCACCAGTTTAAGAGACATAAAGCGAGATGCACTGTTGGTCTTTTGGATGAAAATTTTCTTGACCAGATCAAAGACGTCTCTTCATCATCTGCAGCCATAGAGCAACACGGAACGAAGTAGCCATATCGACTATTCAAATCACTCTGTCACTTTTTGCGCGGGGGGGGGGGGGGGAATATGCACACAAACGCAGTTTGACATGACTACGACACTCACACATAAACAATGACACAATACAATTCGACAGAAGGGAAAGCTGTGACTGTGGTCCTTGCCGCGTCGGTCGTGTTGCTCCATGTCTTCAGCCTTTTAATGTTCGCCCTGCTAGGGCACAGGCTTTCCCCATAATAGGAAGATTTGGCCCTGACCCACCATGTGGTGAAGATTCGTGTATGCTAACGACTGCATAATGCATATGCAGCCAGAACATAGGCTTAACGGGCCTTCCGAAGTACAGAGGAGCTCTAGATAACATATTTTCGGTCACCCCAAACGTTGTCATTGTCACCAACAAAAAAGAACACTAATGCAGGTTACAACATCAGACATGCGCACAAATTCTTCTCTTATACTGATTTAAGAGAGTTAAGGCGAGTGGAAAATCCGCTAATTTTCCACTCGGAATAGAGTGCCCGTCTGAGGAAGTAACCTCTGCCTTACAGGAGACCACAGTGAAATAACACTACCTTTTGGTGGCGTTGTATTTCTGCTGGTGTTGAACTGAACTGCGCGGAAGCAAATTCCTCTTAACGTCAGGTGGGGAGGGGTGACGCGAAAGAATCCCTAAACACAGGGTATTCGCAGGGTTTTCAGCGGATATTATGCCGTAAAGGGCCCGTAAGAGTTACGGGGTCCAGGGGCTCGTAAGGTTTGCGGGAGCCAGGTGTGAGGTCCGTTCGGCGGTGTGCCTCTTAAAGGCGCCGTCGTCTGTAAACAGAGTTATTGCCTGCGTCACAAAAAAAAAATGGAGAGGGGTAATTTGCTTTACTCGTATAAAAAAAACCTAATACATCTTTCAAACTATGTACCTCAATATATTTTTATTTTTTAAGCATTAAACTGCTATTGCGAAATAGCAATTTTAGTTAAATAAAAATATAACTAAAATTGCTATTTCTTCTTTCAAATGTTTAATACTTGTAAAGGTATTCCTTTGACATTGTGGGTTACAATTCGAAGAGACGGCGCTGCTAGCCTAAGAAGTACTAGAAAAAAATTGACATGGCCGCGGTAGCATCCGCCTCGATAGCGAAGGGTGCGGGTTCGAGTCCCGTGTGCTGCAGGCAACAACGTTTTATCTTATCGTACCTTGTACAGGGCTGGTGTGTGTGGTGTGCGGCGATACGAGCTCGGGCAAGCACTACGGCATACTCGCGTGCAACGGATGCAGTGGTTTCTTCAAACGATCCGTCAGGAGAAAACTTATCTACAGGTCAGTATTATTAGCATCTTGCACCAAAGTTCTTAACCCTAAATGATTTTACAAATGTACTATAAACTCACTTTCGAGTATGTTTGTTTGTTACTCAATCACGAAAATGGTACGAAGATAGTTTATGACCTGGATTGAGACATAGAATACTTTTTATCCCAGAAAAATATAAGGTTCCTGTGGGCTTCTCAAAAAAACAAAGTTAACGCGGATGAAGTCGCGGGCGGTCGCTAGTTCAAATATAAATTATAGTAATATAAGTTATTTACGGGATTGTTACCATGTACCTTGTTTTTACAAAACAAGGTAAAACTCGCTAAAAACAAGGTACATGGTAACAATCCCGTAAATAACTTATATTACTATAATGTTAGTGACCATGAAAGTTTAAAACAAATATAAATTGTACTAAATCGGTTGAGCGATTGAAGCGAGAACAGGTATAGCAGCAAACTTCTTGAGAGAAACCACAAACAAAAAAACCTGCAGAGTAGTTAGGATTTATATAAATTAATTTTAACACGCATTCGATTAACTCGAAACTCAGTATTTATTCTTACCACGAACCATTATCGAATTGAATAGTTCGCGAGTGCGAAATGTCAATGTCAAATTTTGTATGAAAACTTGAACAGCAGCGCCAAAAAGTACGTAACGAGAACTAAACATCGGTACACATTTGACAATGACATTTCGGACTCCCAAACTATTCGAATTCAATATTATTTCGTGCTAAGGGTATTGAAATAAAGAATAATACGTATCTCGATTTTTGAATTTCTACCCCTGAGCCAAAAGTGGATGAAAGTTTGTATGAAAAATCGTATTACTTGGTTTAATATACTTGAAACTTGGCACAAATCCTACTACTACCACTACATAAATATTATAAAGTTTATCATTTTTAGTTTTTCTTCCTACTGAGAGGGAGTCCCTCTAAGCTGCGCAGGCTTTCATATGCTTAAGATGTTTGATGGCTTTCATATGCTCGATGCTTAAGATGTTTGCGGGGGTATTTAACAGGCAGAAACACTTTTCAATTTATAATATTAGTACCTATGGATAATACTTAACCACTCACCTTATTTTTGAGCTATAATTGCATATTTACTTAAAAGGAAATCTAAACGCGCAGTGGGTCACATTTTCCATCTCATTGCGCAAACTCAACTGGTAAACGTTATGTAAAGCAGGATATTCAAATATTGTGTATGATAAAACGCTCCACTTATTACAAATTAAGTAACCGAAATACCATTTTCAATGGACCGAAATTAATGTCAAACAGCAATGAGGTCACAAGTGTGCCATAGAAATTTAAAGCAACTGTGGCAGCTAAGCAAGCACATCTTTTGTTGTTGTGAATTTTATGAGTACATTCAAACTTTCTATTTGGGCCACTTGATTTTATAACAAGAATGTATTGCATCCTTACAGCTAACTGTTGATTTTGGGTTGCCCCGATTTCACAATGACATACATTGGAAATGCACGACTTTAATGTGATCACTTTTAACCGTGACTTGATGTCTAGTACTAGGGCCGTGGGTAATTATAATTAACCAAAAGAAACCAGAAGAAAGAAGAATTCTCAGAAATAAAATCATCCTTAAATATTCTTAGATTATTATTTATATACTAGCAAACCAGTGAACCAAATGTTCACCAAAACATGATTTAAAAAAGAAAAAAAATATTTAATTAATTGAGAACTTCGGAGATTTTGTGTGGTTTCGTTTGAAATTCGTGATTTCTCGAAAACCGGAAGTGCTACGTTACTCAAATCCGGTTTGTAGTCTTATCAGACTATTCTTAACTTATAACTTAAACATTCTCTTTATCTATCTCTTACGGTTTGGCCGCTGAAACAGCACCACAGACAGACGGACGGACGGACGGACGGACTTGTCTAATAGATAAGAGATTAAACCGAATATTTTCATGGTGATTTGATTCTTGATGATTCTTAGATCGAATTAACGAAATATGAATTTGACATTATTATTACTTACTTGGTTTTTTTTCTGTTAAACAACATTTTACTTAATATGTGATGAGTTTCGCTAAATTCTACTGTTGGTTATCATTTCTATCAGTAAAGTCAGAAATCAACCTAAGGGCGCTTGGTATCGAGACAATTTCTACCCGTGTCTACGTCCGGTCGTCAGTTATGTACAGGTTGCGGCATGTAACTCTAGCGCTGAACAAAACGCGGAGGTGATAGCTGCGCATGGGTACGACTAGAGAGCCAATCGGCCGCGCATCTCAGTTTCCTGTCAATACATCTAATTTTTATTTTTGCGCAATAACGGTCAGCGATAGATTTTGTGCCGCGACTATAGAGGTTTGTTAACAACACCGGCGCCAGCGGCGGTATGGTGGTCGGTATAAAGGTACAAACGGGAGAAATCGTTTCGTTATCAAGCGACCTAATACTATGTATAGGAACCAGAGGAAATAAATATTAATTCAGCCGGGATCGCAGGTTAATATGTAAATGTCTTAGCATCTTTCATTCCCGTCCATAAGGAAGTCCTGTGCCCCAGCAGTGGGGATATTAAGGCTGGTGATGATGATGAAGTGTCTCAGCGGGTTAAGGTCCTACATTTTCCTTTCAAAGCGAATGACATTAAGCAGGTAGTCTGTAGTCTTTTTTAGGGTTCCATAACTGAAAAGGAAGTAACGGAACCCTTAAAGTATAACTTTGTTCTCCATCTGTTTGTCAAGGTCCTTTATCTTGGGAAGTAGGGGAGGTATCGAGTTGGAATTTAAACCAAAATAATAATAAATATTAAGTTGGAAATCAAACCAAAATACTCAGTTCTACGGTCCCTAGAAGTAGCAAAAAACAAACTTCTGAGTTTTAAAAAAGTTTACGGCCGTTTATGTGTCTGTCTGTCAAGATCCTTTATCTCGGAAACGGTAGGAGGTAATGAGGGATGGCATGACTAAAGCCATCCTCTCACGCAAAATGGACACCTGGTGTCGAGTTATGGAAATTACCCACCGTACAGAAGAAGAAGAGGTAACGATTTGAAATTTAAACCATATACTCAGATTTACGGCACAAAATGGACATAACAGAAGGTAATCTACATTCAAAGTGCGCTCGAGCAACGCACACATAGAAACCGCTCACGGACACTATATCTCGAATCACTTCGGAACACTATCAGCGCGAGTTCCACCCGCTCGAGACACTTTGTGAACTTTTTTAAAACAAAAATGGAGGAATTAAAAACAGTTAGTATATATAGAAATATAATAACAACAATTTAAAAACTTCCTAATGTATAAAATTACCTTAACCTACCTATAAAAAAACATACTTACAAAATGAAAAATAAGTCACCTCCAGCGCCGCCGTCAGGAATGGTGCCCAATAGACTAGCAGCATTGCCAAGATGAATGGCAAGGCTCATCCGTTGATCAAGATAGCTGCCAGCCTTTTGGTCATGAGTCTCTTTGATATTTCTTTAAAAAAAGAATGAGCGCTTGGACCCCATGGGCCCATGATCTCAACACCAAATGGCACAAATACTCGTATGTTTAGTAGACGGTTGTTTGAATTCAACATTAAGCGGTGAATTCACATTTTCTTTATTTGTAATATGACAACATCATTAGAATTGAAATGTTTTAGTTATTATTGGTTATTATTTCCGTTGTTTCTTTCATTATCAATAATAAATCAAACAACTAGATACGAGTGCCACTACTGGGATAGGTTTTTGTGCATAAGCCATTGTTGACAATCCTAGCTCGCCCGCCGAGTACATACGCAAAGTAAAGGACGAGTACGTACATACATGAGATCTAAGTTTTTTTTTTCATATTAGATTTATTCAATTATTTACAAATTTCCCTCAACTAATTTATTCTAATTCAAATTTCAACGTGTTTAATAATATACTGTCCGTACTCGAGGCTGCTATTTGATACAGCCAGGGGCGCGGGCAGAAGTCGGAAAGAGGAAGCAAGATTTGAATCGTTAGATATGCCCTTCCTTACCATAGTTTGACCGCACCGAAATCTGTTCACTGATGTGATGTGAGCTCACTCATCTCTAATAAGTGTTCATCTGAACACAGTGACGTAAGTAATAAAAATACTGCAGTGATTCTTTACGAGGAAATGCCTCAAAATGCCGTCGCGTGCCTTCCGAAAATGTACTAACAATACTAAAAATATAAATAAAGCTAATAGTAGTGGCGATTCTGGCATGATTCTCCAAAATTAAAACTAAATTTAAAATCAGTCACTCCTTTTCATTCCGTATACAGAAAGACAAATATAGACTGTTGTCAAATCTAAGTTTAGGTTTAGATAATCGTGCCAGAATCGACACCGATGTAACATATAAATGGTCCCGGAAGATTTAAAGAACTATTATTTTCATTTTTCTGTAGTCTTCCTTATGGTGGAGATTCTATTCCATATGTCTCATAAACATGACCTTCACTCGTTAATCGACAATACCACACTTACCCAATGTATGTTGTTGTAAAGTTGCTTTATATTTCGATACACTACTTCATCATCATCAGCCTATTAATGTCCCCACTGCTGGGGCACAGGCCTTTCCTATGGATGGAATAGGGAGATTGGGCCATGACCCACCACACGGGCGCACGGCGGATTGGCGGATGCTAACGCCTACAGATGCAGCCGGGACCAACGGCTTAACGTGCCTTCCGAAGCACGGAGGAACTCGAGATAGAAGATTTTTTGTCACCCATCCAATGACCGACCACTGCGAAAGTTGCTTAACTTCAACGATCGCAGCCGAACGCGCTGACCACCTGCGCCATCGAGCTCCTCATACTTACTAATTATTCAAAACGTAAAAGAATCTTTAATATAAGTTTATATTTAATCAACAAATACTGAGCATGTGACTGAATTTGATCCTACATCCTACATAATATTTGTTATTTTAACAACTTACTACAGTTAAAAATGAAACGTTAAAATTGAACAAGGTATTGTCATTCACTTTTTTAATAGCACAAGTGTGGGACACATCATCATGTGATTTCACTTAAGTGATTCATAATTTTACACCTGAAAATAATTCCAAAGATATTTATTGTTTCATATGTTAAATATCGAACGAAAATTGTATGTTTCTTAGAAATATTATGAGGAATTGTTCTGGTGAAATATATTTTTTATCATTTTCGAAGTTGTTTTATTTCCTCATATTTTGCAAAAAACAGTATTAAGTTACTGCATAGTATTCATAATTCAGTTAAATGCTTCAAAAATAAAATAAAATCATAGTTCATAGTAGTTTGATTACTCGACACATGACTCATTAAATAAAAATAGCTTTAAGTGTATGTGAATTCTATATCTTTAAATATTATTTTGAATTATATTAAATGGACTGAACCTACTCTATTAATGAATACCGATTATTGAATAAAAAATTATTTATTTATGCAGGTAAGTAAGTTAAGCTGAATAGTTTTTCAGTTTGTGTTATTTTAATTTATCTCTATCTTGTTTCAACAATTATGCAATAAAATCTGTAACAAATAAATAAGTTGAATCTATGGAAACAAACTGTAAACATTTACCTATCGTTTATTTTTAATGAATAATTATTGTTATCATAATTATTTTAGTGTCAAAAACAACATTAAATTAAAATAATTAAAGTGCTTGTTCTTCTTTGAAAGAAAAACAATGAAGAGCACTAGAAAACTTAATATCTACTATACAAATTGTAATAAATTACAATTTGGCACCAAAGTTAAAACCTCATCCCCGTAAGTACCTCTCAAAGAGAGATATTTAATCGAAAGTTATCCCGGCATCAATCCACATAATCCGTATCAAAAACTGCAACATGCCATGGGCCTCATCTGGCAGGCAAAAATGACAATGGAAAAAGCCGGGGCGCACCACTTGTATCCACTTAATCCATGGTGGACATATTTCTAATTCTTACTACATCTGTGACCTGGCAAAGGTGCGGATATGGAACGGTAGATTTTACGTTTTTAAGATTATCACTAGAGATGTACCGAAATTTGAAAAACATTAACATTTGATATTACCGAAATTCGGCAGCATTTACCGAACTTCCACCTCAGCCGAACTTCAATTAAATTTCGATATAAAAAAATTACATCAGTCTTATGGCTGAAATTGTCTTGACTGTCTCAATAGCGAACAAAAACTGATAATTCTGGTTTTTTAAGAGTTAATGATGCTGCTGCTGAGTTAATTGTTGAGACAAAAAAGAATAATTTCAAGGGAGAAATGAAAACTTTGCTTTTAAAAGAGATATTTATTTCTGTTGTTTTCGGGATTAGAATATTCGTAATCTGTTTAAAATAATTACCTATTATTTGTCGATTTGACTGTATGCGTGATAAGTTAGTAATATTATAAAATTAATTACAATTCATAAAATACTAAAAACACTAAACAGCAAAAATCTATTTATAAAAGTGATTTTGATTCGCAAATTATTATTTTTTATTATCACTGCGTCCGCTCGCCGCTTTTGCTTCGCTCCTATGTCCACACCCTGCACATCTCCAATCGGGGTATTTAAATGCGATGCGAATTTAATTTTCGTTTTTTATGGTGGGGTATTTTGGCTCCCTGTTCACTGTTTAGCGTTTTATGAGGGGTACCTTATGATTCCCTTTAACAGACGAGCAAATATTATTTGTCTTTGTACAGGGAAAATAAATAAATGTTGCTCCTCTCTTTTTTCTCCATGGATAGGTGATCTGTTTTCTGCATACATTTGAGAATATCGCATTTGTAGCTTTGTATCAAGTATCATTACACATTTCTAGTTTTATGTATTTTTATTCTGAGATTTAATTAAAATTTATTTATTACACAACATTATCTTTCAAAAATAACACTTTATAGATTTATAATTGTGTGTTTTTCAGAAAAATAATAGTACTGAAGAGGTAGCAGTTTTGGCTGGCTCAAAAAAATATAGTTACAACAGCCTAGCTATATAATCCAAATTTTCACCCAGTAATGTACAGTAGTATAGTAATTATGAATATTAAAATAGCTGTCGGAAATCCCAAGACTTTTAGCTGATATTTCTACTTGAAATTGTCAGAACTGTCTAGACTTACAAAGGTTCCTGCTTGCCGACACAATGCGATAATATTAAAAACCGTTTAACATTTGGTCCACCCCAAGTGCCGTTTCAATTAATTCGCCACGCACGCACCCCTAACGTTATTAATTTATTGCGCACGGTCCCTTATCGATGTATCGTCAAGTGTGACATGTGTAGTTTCTTTAACATAATACAAATAATTATTGTTCGCTTTTTATTCTATCCGAGAATCACAAACAGATGTGTGAATTTGCGTAATTTTGAGTACATTACATGTAAGAGACTACGAGTATCCTATGAATGCTGGAGATACTTGAATGAAAATAGTGGGGATGTTTGCTTATTCCTTTTTGATCAACCCGGAAAATCAAAGCTTATGATATGAAGCAATTACCTATTTATTTGATAATGTTAAGGAGTAATATGAACTTAGAAACTACATTAATTGAATGCTCTGCACAGACAAAAAGTAATACTTAGGATCTATTGTAGCTCAGGTCCTTACCTTATTTCTAAAAGTATGTCGTTGATCCAAATGATAAATAAAACGTAACAAATACGAACGGGACTTAAAAATTAATCGCATAAAATTCATTACCTAACATCATCAAAGGAAATGACCAAAAGCTTATAGCAACCAAGAAAAGCAATCAAATATGGAACTTGCTACTAAATCCGAACAAGGAAAAATACTCAATGAAACCGTTGGTACCGTGAATACCGCAAGCTGCTGGCGTAGAAACTAATAAAGATTAAAGATATTTCATTACTGGTAATCCGGTCGTAATAGGCTTAGGGTCAAGTTGACATTTGTTGCACTTGCCGAATATAATGAATAGAAAGAGTTTGGGATTCAGAAATGGTCCCTGCGCTATACCACTTAAGCTTTGGCAAAACGTTTTATTTGAAGTTTGCTTTGTATTATATAATATGGTATTTTCTGTAGAAGAAGCAATAGCACTTTGAAAAATAGTTATAGGGAAATTTTCAAAGTTGATAAATTGGTTAGGGATTTATTCGCTAAACTTGAACTAATGAATATGAAAATCAGAACCGACATATTTTTTTATATTATAGGCGGTAACTAAATATAACTGGTAACTAAATCAGCGCCCATAGACATCTGCAACACCAAGAGTATCAAAAATGCGATGCCGACCTTAACATACATGTTTTGTGAGAAAACGAGAACAAAATACAAGGATATGAACTCATCCCCATGTGTTGGTGCTTAATGTCGTAGAGCAAGATTACTGTGTAATATGAATGAACTACTTATTTAGAATTGTGATTTTTCAATGTGTAAATTTTCCACTTTAAGTTTCGTTCGTATACTTACAAAATCATCATCATCATCAGCCTATAATGTCCCCAATGCAGGCCTTCCCTCCCAAGCGTGACAAGCGACGACTCATAACTGGATCCTGCAGTTACGCCTGGAGGGTGAGGAGTAGATCGGGAAGTTGGTTTACCTGATAGTTACGAAATATTTTTCTTCCACAGATGTCAGGCTGGAACTGGAAGGTGTGTGGTTGACAAAGCCCACCGGAACCAATGCCAAGCCTGCAGACTGAAAAAATGCCTCGCCATGGGAATGAATAAAGATGGTAAGTCACGTAATTATTATATCAGAGCAAGGCAAGTAGAAGTATTTAGTAAGAAGGAAGATGTACTATGAAGTTTATATTAACAGGTAATGTTTCAAAAATAGGACATTTATTTCATTTTATAAAATGGACTTCCTAATAAACCCTTTTTTTAGTCCAGTAAAATCCATACTTTGCGTCCAATCTTTCTTCTGATTTTTGTGATGACCGTGCAATGAATAATCCAAGTTTGTGATGTCAAGTATCGAAAGCACGAAATTTTGTCAAAAATCGTCACAATCGCGAAAATTTCTTTTTTTTTGCTTCTATTTTTTTTTGGCAGATTATAGCGGTTATAACCCTAAAGGACTACATTTTAACAGTATCTTTTCAGCATATTTTTAAAGTAGATTAAATTTGCTACAATATGAGACTAGAATAAACTCCGTAGATCCAATTGTTTCCGAAATAGAGCCTTTCAAAGTTTTAGTCCAGTATATTAAAAGTTTAATTACATCAGAACTTGCGTCCAGTCCGGTAGTTCTGAATTTTTGTAGACGTGGTTATGACGACATTTTCTTTAATATTTTGGTGATTAAAATAATCGCAAAAATCTAAAAAAGTCGAAATATTTGAAGTATTATTTTGTTGATGTCAAACAGAGTGCGTTTGTTGCTCAAGGTCTCAACTTGGATTATTGATTGGGCCAACATCATAAACTAGTCTGAAAAAAAACAGAACTACCGGATTTGACTCAAACAAACCCTATACTTCCAAACGGTAATTTTACCGGACTACTTATAACCATAATTACAACTAAATAAAACTGATGATCTCTTAGGTCCACTTGCAGCAATTTTGCTAATCTTAATTTAACTAATACTAGATATAACCCATAGAATAATGATAAAATGACATTAGCACCTTGATATTTTTCTATGGGTAAAATCTTGTTTATATCGAATCGATATTATCAAAATTGCTGTAAGTGGACCTAAATATGTTTTTTAAGTATGAAGTAATACAATAAGTACATATAATATTGTATATTTACTTATTTACTATCCTTTGATTTTGCGGTTTAAAGATACAGTGTGCACGCATAAAAAACTAGTTGACTAAGATAAATCCGTTCAGCCGTTCTTGAGTTTCAGCGAGACTAACAAACAGCAATTGATTTATATATGTATATGTGTATATAGATTAAGACCTTTTTTTCATTTTCAACCCCCACGTAAAGATTTTAAATATGAAACGTGTACACCTGTGTCTCCATTTGTTACTTGGATGATTTAAGATACTTACTGATGCTGCAGTATCATCCTGATTCGCGGGCTACATTTTAAATATTTTTGTATATCTGTGTTTTTCAAAAGTACCTATTGCTTTAAACGAGGAGACTTGTTAGTTTGCGCTCTAATGTTTACGTAGTTATGCTAATTATGTTTTTCTAATCTGTTCAAAGAAACTGTTTCAGCACATTTTGCTCATCGAGGCAATCGTGCATTATAAGTACATTAAAATAATAAATATTTCTAACTAACTAACTTGTAGATACAACACATACCTACAATGACTCTTTGAAAGAAGACAACGATATAAAATTATAACCTTTGATAGAATTACTAATAAGCTCGATTTCGGCGCTCAATTGGTGACGGTAGTTTAAAGTAAAAATCTTAATCTGGGGACTGCTTTTGATAATTCTAATTGGATCATCATCATCATCATCAGCCTATTCATGTACCCACTGCTGCAGTAGAGGCCTTCCCTATGGATGGAATAGGGAGATTGGGCCATGACCTACCACGCGGGCCCAGTGCGGATTGGCGGGTGCTAACGACTGCAGCTGTAGCCGGGACCAACGGCTTAACATGCCTTCCGAAGCACTGTGTCTAATTGGATAGGTATATTTTATAAGTTAAAAAATTGCTTGATCCCTATACATTTTTGATGTGTATAGTTCACACGCATAGATTGCTTTCACCTATATTGTTAATACTGAGAACAATTGCAATGTCTTTATCAATTCTATTACGGCCGATCAATTCTGCGTGTGGTGCGGACAACGGCGGAGATTTGCGCGTGTTATGATGTGTTTATGACATGTTTGCCTAATAGGGGATCAGTTTAGACGTGGGAATACGCTATGGGAACTAGCGATCTATCAGTATTTGTAGAACAATGTTTTGACGATTATTCTTTTTAGAAAACTTTACGTATAAGTAGTGATAGAAAGAAATACTTAAGTACTTACATATAATATTTTAAAGAGGATTACCTATATTAACTTCAATTAGTTATATGCGGTTTCCGGAAATTAATTATGTGTTTGGATCTGAAATAAGTCAAATTACTATTAAATTCCTAAAATAAAATATTGTAATGAACCTAAGTAACAAAACTGATTTGGACAGAATTTCATTTTATAATTAAGGAATAGAGCCTAATAGATACTACGTAGCCTTCAAATTTAGGTGAAACTTCAAATTTACTTAAGATTTAGAGAATTACATCAGAATCAAGGCCACTGTCCTTCTAATTACGAGCTCTCTACTATTTAACCCTTCAAAATGAAGATCGTCTCATCTCTTTGGTGTGAACAAATAGAAAAAGGGGTTTTAAAAAGTTGTTTTTTATCCGTCACACTTTCGCCACGTGCCGTCGGCCGCGCCGTATACAAATTATGGCTTAAAGGTGGCCCCCTAAAATGGTTATTCAATTTTTTGAGTTAAGTCGTGCATACGTTTGTTAGTTTAGTTCGATTGGTTCCGTACGAATGGACTTGGCGATGCAAATTGCTTTAACGATTCTGTATTACATGATTTATTTCTGCTTTCGTTTTTAATGTAAGTATGGAAAGCCTAGAAGTTGATCTTGACTTTCTCAAGTGAATGTAATGAAATTCTTTCAGTGCATTATGAAGTTATCTTCGTCAACCGTTTTGTTTTACTTTATTGATGATGGCAAATATAATTTTTAAATTAATATATTTGAGCAGTTCTTAATTTGGACATAGTCTAACAAAATTTTGTGATGGAATAGATAAATCATACGAAAAGTTGTGTAATTTGTTATACGTCAATAGAATAAAACCATCTTGCTTATCAAATACAACTTGTTTAAAACAAATCATTTAAGAAATAAGTATTCGCCAAAAGCCTATAAGAAAAAACTGATAAGTACTTACAACTACATCACGAATATCGTTGAATACCAGATACGAAGGCACAAATCACTTCGATTATTTCATATCACACTGTACAAAACTCTGATTTCTACATGATTAAAAATAATAAAGTTCCCGCGTGACGTGAACAATATGAATAATTACAGATTTGAAAGCTCTTTCCACCGCAAACCCTTTACGAGCGTAATGCCCTTAAGCCACATCTAATAAGTTGAGTTTCGGCGTCAACCACGCCCCCTTTATAATGAGCGGCACATTCTCACAAATAAAGATAATTAAGCAAAAACTACAAAGGCCAAAGCCTTCGGCGTTCGCGCTTCACATTCAAATAAGCACCCCTCGTTACGGAGATGTTTAACCGCAACTTTGTCTCCGAATCTGTATAGAAACGCTTTTTAAATTTTCGCCATCATTAAATTTGAATTTGGGAACATTGGCTTGCGTAGAACACGTTCATTTCATCAACGGTTATGAATTTGCTTTGAAATTGTATCAGTACCTTTGTCTTGTTATAATTTATTTGACTAAATAAATAAAATAAATAGGTATAAAATATAATTTTCCTAGGAGGTCAATGTATGATCATCGTAAATAAAACTTATGATTATAAAATAAAACAATTTTCAACGGGTGAGATGAGAGGATTCGTTTCGATCGATCCCGGGCTCCGGGATCCCGGGATCCCAGTCATATTTTAATCCCAAAATTTTCATAATGACGGATTTTGGATTTTCGGGATTGATATATAGTTTTTTTAGGCCAATAAAAATATATGTGAAACGAAACACACTTACATTCATTTGACGATTTGACTGCCATCTTGTTTACACAGCTGACTTCATTTATTTTTGCTAACGACCGGTACCGGATTATGTGTAAAAGCATGTAAAAATTCCGCTGCACGTCGTGTAAATATTGATATTTTTTTGTTAATTGCCTGAACGCGCTTTTTCCGCCTCTTCCTATTTGTGCAAGAAATTAAGAAGTATGCTTTCGGATGAGACGTTGAATGCATTGTTATTCCTTAAATGTTATTTTCGTGGGTTAAATAAGTAATTTATAAAGTTTCTGGTCTATTTAATTTAAAATTCCACTGATTTTACTTATTTATTGACGTTTCGCATCCTTTCAGGAAGGCATCGTCGGAATAATATAAAAAAATTAGCCTTATGATTATAACTTTTAGGACCACTTGCACTTTTCTCAATTCAAATTAAGGCTGAATCGTGTTTAACACATCGTTCCATTTTTGACAATTGTTCAAAGCCCAATAAAGATACGAAGAGGCTTAAATATAAATAACTTATAAATTAGATCTTAAGAAAATATTACTAGAAAAAAATCCACGGGGACCAGGCAGCAGACGGGGCGGGAAAAAAATATATACATAATTAGAAATTTGATTTAAAAACTTAAAGCAAAAGGGGGCCTAAGAGTAAGTCATGTGAATTCAAATACATCCTCGTACATTTTATCAATACTTTTATTTGTTACCGATTGAGCTTATTTAGTACTTTCTACAAAACTGTATTACAAAACAAGAAACAAAGTTAATAATTAACTTTCGAAAAACAATGTAAATCACCAAAACGTAGCACTCAATTCTGCGAACAAAAATCTCGGCAATCAAACTTGAAAGTCGAATTTCCATTTCCACGATTACCATAACGCGAGCGCGCCCAACAATGAAACGTTGATCCAATTTAACACGAAAAGAAAGTGTCAAAAAGACGTTCCTAGGGAAGTAATGAGGGCGCAGAATGCTGCCCTGAGGCATCCCGAGGGTGGCTTTATTACTTTAAGCTTTGTATTATTTTGCTCCCGACGCTCC